GTTTATTTCAGCTTAACTTAACCAATCAATAGTTTTATTAATACTTATGTAGTAAAACGGGGTGGAGCCCGTGGATAACAGCTAGTTGAAATAAGTTCAGGTTCGAAATAACTGTAATGCCAAAAATGAGGCAGGCAAACATAATGAGTTTTAACAATAATAATCACATAACAAACAACTTTGTGTACAAGGAACATAGAAAGGTAAACTAAATAAAAACCCCCGCCGCAGCAAACCTGCAGACTAAGCAAATTTCCATTTGCCCGATTGGATTTACTCTAAAATGTCTACTTAAAAATATAACATTAATTTCCTATTTAAATAGAATTAGTTTAACAAGTACTTAGGTTTGCTGCATCAGGGAGGGTAAAACTGTTTTCTTTGTAAAATGTTAATAGTTAATTAGAAATAAAAACTTTTTCCAAATTTGATCAAAATACGTTCATAAACAAGCAAACTATAACAGTTTACTTGTTCTCCATAAAAATAACGTGGGAATTTTAAATTTAAATTTTTTTTGAATTTTCTCCGTAACCATTAGGCGCATAATAACGCTTCAATATACTAAATTATTTGTTTTTTTAAGCTCTACAAAATGGTTTGGAAAGAAATTGCTAAATTTTTATGTTTTTTGGGTCGAAAATGGGAAAAACCTATTTTTACCCCATAAAACCCCCCGTAAACCCCCGTTCCTATAGTCCGATCTTGCTGGTTTACAGGTTTATACCAAATTTCATCAAAATCGGATCATTTTTGCTCAAGTTATCGTGCTAACGGACACACACATATATATATAATTATATACTAGCAGAGTACCCGTCCTTCGTACGGGGTTGGAATATAAGTATAAAATGCTTATTCCAGTTATACTCAAGCTTTGCGTTTGCAATAAGGGAGGACACAGTTTGATAAAATTAGCTTTTTTAAATTTACAGTATTCTATAGTATTACACATCTACCATAGCCATAATGTTCTACCACTTCACGTAAACAAAAACAATAGAGAAAAATAAATGATCAACAATTCGCAAAATATCACAAATTATTCATGAAATGAAAAACATAAACATAACTGTAAACAATCCTACTTTGACAGTTCTCATTGTGAATCACAGTTTTTTGTTGCTGCTTAGTTCAAATTAGCTGTTTTCATAAATGCCAAAAAAAAATATAGTGCTGCACCTTGTTGGTAAATCTTATAACTTTTTATTGCTTTTCCATATCATAGAACCAACTTTTTTAGTTGAAACAGCTGACTAAATTCTTTAATTCCCTTTAACACTTAAAGTGCCGTTGACATGTTTGAACATGAAAATTGCATTTATTTCAATGTTAAGCAATGGCGGGAATTCCCGTCATCAGCACCCAACGTGTTAAATATGAATACTCATAAGGTTAACATGGGGAATTACAGAACCACTGGGGAGGAGCCAGAAAGGATCTTTGAGATAAGAATATGCCTACAGTATATGTTAATCGGGAATTTAAGCTATCATCATGCCAAATTTCAGCCCAATCCGTCCAGTGGTTTATGCGTGATTGAACTTCAAACACACAAACTTTCACATTTATAATATTAGTAAGATAAGATATATATATACAGTAGAACCTCAATAAATCGAATCCCAAGGGGAACGGGAAAACTTCGAATTATCGAGTACTTCGAATAATAAAGGTTCGATTTATCAAGGTTCATTCTCCCCAAAATTCGATTTATAGAGGTTCAATTCTTTGTTGAACGTACTCTACGGCTCATAGCCATTTTTCAGTGGAAAGGTTATAGAGTAGCGCGAATGAAGTAAACAAAGAAATGAGTCATTGGCAGACACCCTCTCAGTTTTTTGCCCCTCGGCTACGACCCTTTTGTTATTAGACGGGCACCTGTTCTCTTATCGCCTGTTTGGAACTTTCACTTTTTACAATGAATGATGGGCAAATCACTATCAGAGGTCCAAAAAACTGACTGGTACTATCACATTAAAAGTTTAGACTAAAGAAAATAAGCTTTAAATGTATAGATTTAAAATAAAGCATGTTGGTATACTTTAAAACAGACCGGGAAATACAGTAAATAATAACTCGTTTTAAAATTCAGTACAGTATACGTATTTATTGAAATCAATGACAGTACAAAACAAAATCAATGTCAATGTATTTAACAAAACATACATTTGATTTTTAAAGAACATTTTAACGCAACTTGTACAAGTTTTCAATAGCCTACCGTACATTTACAAACTGCAAAAATGGAATACATGTATAGTCATTTTGTTTAATACAAATTGTGAAAATATTTACTGTATAACAAAGTCTCAATAGATAAAATATTTCTTAAAATCAAACGAAACTCAAAACTATGACTAACTGATGTACTGTATTGAAAATGGTTACAGTGTAAAAATATTTACTTTACATTTACAGTAGAAAACAAAATATTTGCTGATACAGTACATCATAAAACAGAGATAGGCTACAGTAGGAGCCTAAATGTTTGTATGGTTAACTCCTTATACAGAAAAATATTCAGAAATTGTAGTTTGTCTACCTGTTAGAGTAACTTTGTCCAGCGCGTCGTCCAGTACAGAAATTGATTTAATTGTTTGGTCACTCATCATCGTCTTCTTTTGAAGAAATTTGCGCAAGACATCAATTGCACAACGCGCATCACTGAGTGTCGGGTCCGGGTCCGTTGCTTCGTTCTCGTCGTCCGCTTCACCCTCGTCGTCGCCCCTCCTACATTATCTTCTAGTGGGTCTTGTGTAACGGAGGCGATTATATCCGCTTCACTTAGTGCCCCACTTGTCGCCACATCGTCATCAAAATTGACAAATTCCTCGAACGTTAGATACTCAACATTAAGAGACCGTGTAACTTCATTCCAACGCGTCGGAGGCTCGAGTTCATTATTAGGAGGGTCATCAACCACACTGATATCCACATCTGTGTCTTCTGCATTTTCTTCGGGTTTCTGAGTGAATCCACTTTTCTTAAAACAATTTTCGATTGTTTTCTCAGATACATTATTCCAAGCCTTTGACGCCATCCACATTGCGTCAAGCACATCGATTTTTGTGGGGCTGTTTTTTTCTAGGTCACTTAGGAACCGGCGAACCACTTCTTTTCTATAAAACACTTTAAAGTTCTTGATGATTCCTTGATCTAGAGGCTGCAGTTTGGATGTCGTATTAGGGGGTAAAAACACGATTTTAATGTTTTTTAGCTTGGGTAAATCACCATGGGCTGTACAATTATCGATGAAAATAAGAATTTTCTTTTTCTTCTTCTTCATATCATTATCAAGGTCTTTTAACCACTTGCCGAAAATTTCAGATTTCATCCAAGATTTAGGGTTTGAAGTGTAGTCCATCGGGAAACTTTTTACACCTTTGAAACAACGCGGGTTTTTGGCCTTCCCAATCATTAGCGGTTTGAGTTTAACGGTTCCAGTTTGGTTTGCACCAAGTAGCACTGTAACTCTCTGCTTACTATTTTTGCCTCCATGGCATGAGTCTCCTTTGAACGCTAATGTTTTATCCGGTAAGCACTGATAATAAAGTCCAGTTTCGTCCGCATTGAATATGTCGTCGGGTTTGTAGCCCTTTGTTAGATCGGGTATTTTTTCCGTCCATTCTGTACACAACTGATCGTCCACACTAGCACTTTCGCCCGTTATTCTTTTAAAAACAATCTCGTTTCTTTTTTTAAAATTTTGTAACCACCCATTACTTGCCCGAAAGTTTGTTTTGCCAAGTTGAGTAGCAAATTCAACGGCTTTTTCCTGTAAAGTCGGTCCACTCACAGGTAAATTTTTATCCCGGCATTGTTTAAGCCACTGCAACACACAATCTTCAATTTCTTTAGATTCCGGTCCTTTTATTCTCTTCGATCTTGATGCATTGCTTTCATACTTCTCCTTGTGTTTTAAAATGGTTGACAAAGTGTTGGCCGGTATACCAAACTGTTTAGCGATTTCACATTTTTTCTTGTCACCTTTTTCTACTGCTTCGATAACTTTTAACTTATCCTCGTAGGTAAGTGTCTTGTACGAACGTTTTGCCATATTGGCTATAAAAACTCACTAGCACTAAACACTCTAAAACAAAGGAGACACTGTATCTAAACTACTCGAGTACACACACGCACATGACTGAGATAGATTGCAACAGGAGCGGAAGTTGGATTTCCTGTCGAAACACGAAACACGACGCAGTAAAGTACAGTATCGATGTTTTGAATCATAACAAATTCCATACAACTTCGATTAATAGAGGGTTTCTTGCTAATACTTCGACTTGTAGAGGTTCGGCAGTTGCACGATTTCGAATTGTAGAGGTTTTTGGACTAAAACTTCGATTTATAGAGGTACTTTTACGACGAAAAATACCATAAAACTTCGAATTATAAAGGTGTTTCTTGTGAAATATTCGAATTGTAGAGGCAAAATTAACGTTGCAATAGTTAGGGAAGTTCAAGGGGAATTTAAAAAATTCGATTTATCAAGGATTTCGAATTATTGAGGTTCGATTTATTAAGGTTCCACTGTATATGAATTTGAACGGATGGTTTTTTTGGCCTCTAGGGACCTCAAAACGAAAAAAAAAAAATCTGTCCCGCGTCTATGTCTTACTATGAGTACTACAGTAATAGCTTATTCCCTATATGGGAAATTCGCTAAAACCATTTCAAAAACTGTGCTTTCAATTTAAACACATGGTACACAAATGGACACACATCTATTAGTACATATATAACACATATGTTGTATAGGACACGTCCTATAAGTACATACTAAATTTTTGTCCTAAACCACCTTTGCATAGCCTAACCTGCTAAACAATGTCTGTCTTCATTATTTTTTTGTTTGTTTAGTGCCGCCTTGAGTTTTCCTTTTCAAGATCTGACAAAATTACCTGTTTCGCCAGCTAATACTGGATTTATGAAATGTTTTTGTGACATTAAAGTAATATTTAATTTAATTTAATACTTGTTTCGTGTTCCAGTGTTGTTAGCTCTTCATTGTTGGATTCGACGACATTACTCAGCTTTCATTTGGCTGTCTGGAGCATCCATCATCTGGTTCCGCTCTGAACTTGCCATGTTCCTTGGATTCTTACTGCTCTTTGAACTGTTCTACCAACGGATATACCCATTACGGTAGACATATAAATATAACTTCTTGATCTAAATTTTAATAAGATTTCTTTCTTTCTTCAATTTGTATTCTAGGTATGAATCAAATAGAAATCCACAACCTTAGTTAACATTTAAAACTTAGCTGGCATACATGATCTATATAATAGAAAAGCATGTTTCTTTAAAAAAAATTTCTCAGCTTGTGCGCATCGCAGGGGAAATCTAATCACACTGTTAGAAATATATTTTCCTGTAGATGTGCACAATCCGTGTAAAAATTAAAATAGGCTAAAAAATAAGTACAAAAAATGAATTTGAAATTAAAAAAAAAATTAACATGGACTTTATGGGTTGCCAGGTGATGAAATAACATTGTATTGTAAACAGAAAAAAAATTGAAGAAATTCCAATCACATGTTTTATTTACAGTGTGGGGTGAAAAATAGAGAAGTCTGTACAGTGCAATTGGATTTTTTTAGCTGGAAGCGGTTAAGCTGTGGTGGAATATCTTTGAAGATGAACCTTTTTAGTGCGATCATGTGTTCATACGTGTCAAGTTTTGAGGTTAAATCAAAAGAAACAAACTGGCATAATATATTCTAGGGGTGGGCGAGTGCAGTTGGCTCTCGATAGTCCGACACTTAACAGTCCGACACGCTCGGTAGTCCGACGCGGCGGCAAACTACAGTAGACAGCTGTCTAGACTGACATCGGTCTAGGCGTCTCACGTGTTTCCGGTAGCTGGTTCCAGTGTTCAGTAGCGAAGTGACTCGTGCATACGTACTGTACTTTTGGTGATCAAGTGACAGTTTACCTTCAGTGTTTTTAGTGTTAGAGTTTTGTTAAGTGTTGTGTGATGGCGAGCACAAGTGGAACCAATAAACGTAAGCATAAAACATTAACTCTTCCCGAAAAATGGGAAATTATTAAGAGGTATGACCGTGGTGAAACTCCCACGGCTATTTCTAAGGTTTATGACATCGGGCGACCTACCGTTTATGACATTGTGAAAAATAGGGAAAAAATAGAACATTTTATAAAATGTGTTGAAGACGATTCTAAGAGAAAAACACTTAAAATGAGCGAATATCCCCAAGTTGAGGAAGCTCTTTATGCGTGGTTTAAACAGCAAAGAAACAGACATGCCCCGATTTCTGGGGATATTTTAAAAGAGAAAGCACGGTTTTTTTATCGTGAAATCATCAAAAAAGATGATTTTCGTGCCAGCGATGGCTGGTTAGAAAATTTCAAAAAGCGACACGGTATTCGTTTCTTACAGATGAGTGGAGAGAAACTATCTGCCGATGTGACAGAAATTTCTAACTTTATTGAGACCCTTCAAGCTAAAATCAATGAACTAGGCCTTACGCCTGAACAAGTTTACAATGCCGACGAAACCGGCCTAAATTGGCGGCAACTTCCAACAAAAACTTTTGTAACAGGGGATGAAAAAAAGGTTTCTGGAAGAAAACTTCAAAAAGAAAGAATTACATTAATGGTGTGTTCGAATGGCGCTGGGAGTCATATGTTAAAACTGCTAGCTGTCGGTAGAAGTAAGAACCCCCGGGCATTTAAGAACATCAATATGGATTCCCTTCCAGTTGTTTACATGAATCAAAGCCGAGCTTGGGTAACTCAAGACGTTTTCAACGACTGGTTTTTCAACCATTTTGTCCCAGAGGTAAAACAACACTTAAAGAGTAAAAGTCTGCCTATAAAGGCTCTTTTACTGTTAGATAATGCTCCCGGACATCCGGACATTGAGGGATTAAAAGTGAAGACAACTGGTGGTTACATAGAGGCCATGTATTTGCCAAAAAATACAACTGCTCTGATTCAACCAATGGATCAAAATGTTATCAAGACAATGAAGGCACATTATAAGAAGCGCCTACTTATGGATATCGTCTGTCAACCTGACGCAGACATCACATCACTTTTGAAAAAATTTAACATCAAGAATGCCATTTTAAATGCAGCATTTGCATGGCAACAAGTCAAACCTGAAACTCTAATTAAGTCATGGAAAAATGTTTGGCCAGAAAACCCACTCCTCCAAAATAACGACGATGGAAATGACAATGGTCAAGATGACAACGGAGTTGTGGAGGACTCACTTACACTTTGCGATGATATTAACGTTTCGCAAGAATCTTCAGAAGACCTAAGAAGATGGGTATTAGACGACAACCTGTGTGCTGACCTAACAGATGAAGATATAGTACAGGAAGTCATATCTAATGAACAAGACGACACAATTGAGGAGGCCGTGGAGGCAAAATACACGATCAGCTGTGACGAAGCTATGTTGGCTGCAAACACTTTGATTCGCTGGTGTGAAGAGCGTGGACTTGACTTGAACAACGTGTTAATGTTGAGACACATTCAAGAAAATGCAATGACAGACTGTTTACGTAAAAAGAAACAAAAGACTATCACAGATTTTTTCAACCCGTAAATGTGTAGGCCTACACCGTAGTTACAGTACAGTAATTACAATGTTGTAATGTATTTAGAAAAAACGGAGCACTAGCCTACATTGTATTTTAGTTTTGATTTATACTGTACTGATTTTTGTATTTTTATATGCAATAAATTTTTCTTTTTTGTAATATGTAATGCCTTAGTTGATTAGTTTATACCTATAACAGTTAAATAGTACGTGACATGTATTAAAAACTGGTTTTTCTTAACGTATGCAGTTAAATTCAGTGAAATAAAGCTAACCTTTGGTAGTCCGACGTTTTTGGTAATCCGACACCCCCCCGGTCCCGTAACTGTCGGATTATCGAGAGCCAACTGTAGTGATTTTTCAATTCGAGTCGAGTCGAGTCGAGTATTTGAGTAAAAACTCAAGTATCGAGTCGAGTCGAGTAGTTACGCGTTAAGTAGGCCTAGGCCCAGGGTTTAAGCTGCGGTAGTATTTTTAGCATCTTGCTATTCAAAACTTAAAAATGCTAAATTGTTTTGCAGGCTAGGCCTATGGCAAATTTTCTACAAATAAAATTGAAAGATGTAATGTTCAATCAAATGCAATATTAGCCTACTGGTATTTTTTGTTTTAAATGCTTAAGTTATTGAATAATATTTTTTCTACATTTAACTTAGTTGTCTTGAGAGTTTGTAGCATTTTGCTGAAACAAATTTCATCCTAGCCTAAACCCTGCCTAGGCCTAAATAGGTAGTTTAAGTATCCCACATTTTCTAAGTTTGGTTACTAATTATTAGTACCTCTTATCTTAGGCCTAGTAAAAAATTGGTCACAAAACCTTTTGACTGCAGCCCGGTATAGCCTATTTGGCATTTCTTTAATAAACTCACATCTTTCTAGGTTAAGTTACAATTCAAACTGTAGGGTTGTCATGTTTCTGCCACCAGATTGAAAATTGCACAATCAAAATCACAAACAGAACATGTTTATTTTACTTTTCCTACAGTTACCTAAAGCCCCCCATACACTATCGAACATGCCACCCGACCTGACAACCTGACCTGACGACGGACCCATCATCCAACCTGACTTATGTCGGGTGTTTCCCACACACTATCGAGCATGTTACCCAACAAGTCAGGTGAAATATTAGTTCTGAGATGGATTTTGAAACGACTGTTAGCTGTTTCAGGGGGATTTTTAGCGATGATTTTAGGGATTTTTAGAACCTATGGAACTAGGCTCTTAAATTTTCAATTTTATTTTTAACGAACTTCAAATCACACTCTGGATACAGTTCCTTGCACTTTTCCATCAGGATATTGTGCCCCTATGTGCATGTTTGTTGCAATAGAGTTTACTTTTGACATCCCACAACGCCTTCTGGTCTCTGTAGAGTTAAATAAATTTTGACCAGAACTGTTTATTATTATTAAATGACATCATGGAAAAATGGGACGGTTATCACGCACAACTCGCTAAATACAAGTTAACTGGAAACTGTGGCTAGTCGGGCGAGCAGTTCGACGGTTTCCCACACACGGTCCAACGTTGTGTTATATACTTCGATAGGTCCAACATGTCAGGCGGACGGCTCGAGTCGGGTGGTGCTATCGGACCGAGCATCCGACCTGACATATCCGTCGAGCATGTCGGGTTGGAACCCACACACTGTCCAATATGTTCGACAAGACGTTGGATCCCGACATGTCCGTCCAACATGTTGGATAGTGTATGGGGGGCTTAACAATGTACATGTTCTCTCACTGATTTGAGAAAGCAAAGTGGCCAATTCGCTCATCAGTAAGACAATGTTAACATTGTCTCACTCTAATTACTTTGTCTCACTCCAGATTTGCAACGTGAAGGCACGAAATAAATAGTGAACGCGTAACATGCAGGCAACGTCGTATGCGCGCAAAATACGTTGGCAGCACTGGCTGTAAATCAGCTGGTCAGCTGTTGTACTGTTGTATTATTTGTCATTTCACATTAAATGTTATATTAAAAGTTCACTTCTGTGTAAAAATAGGTTATGTTTCTTCACCAATTTATTTGTTTTATGGTAACTGTAGGAAAAGTATAATATAATGTGCAACTCGAGTTTAATGTACAATTGCCTCACTCGAGAAACCATTCCTAAGGATAAGGATTTCTCTCGAGTGAGTCAATTGCTCACTTTTCTCACTAGTTGCACAAATAACTATTTTATTAAACTTCCACTAACAAAATCAATTTTATTTCAAGTTAGGCCTACTTGTAACTTCAAAGTAAAAACATTCAAAACTGACGTTGACATAACTTCACTCCAATCCATTGTTTTGTTGTTACGCTAGCTGTCACCATATCTGCTCTCTCTCTCTCTCTCTCTAGTCAGTCTACTCATTCTGCTTCTGCTTTGTTTTCCTATCAAAAAGCTGTTTTGCAGGGCTGACGTTGCCATATTTATCATTAAACCATTATGGTGAATGTCGGCAAAATTATCATAAAATTGCTATAGCTTTTATTTTGTAAAAAAGTAAATAGTTTGACGAATTTAAATCATGTTTATGTAAACTCATTAGAAAATTATACTGATAGTTTGTTTACGCCAATACCACAGTTGTAAAAGTACAAAAATTACCGTCCATCTGGCAGTTTAAAGTGGAACTGATCAACTGATCTTTTATTTCTGCCAATACCCAATGAGATTGCGTCATTCAGATGCATCGATGTTCCTTGCAGTAAGTTATCGGTTTGTAAAACTTAACACCAATACCGATTAATGTGAAAAAATATTATGCTATAATAGGTTATTTTTTATTTGTTGTATTACTATATTTTGGTATAAAATATTTTTTTATTTATATTTTTTGGTATAAAATATTTTTATGGCAGTTCAAACTAACTGTAGGCCTACTTAATAATATCTTCAAGAATCGTCTGCCATTGTTATACTAGTCACGAGACTCCCTTGTTGACTATCGACTATTGCAATTCGATAGATTCATTCAATGCTTTATTTAAACTTACTGTATCGTTATCAAGACGTATTGTTGACTGTTGACTGTTGTAGGAAAGTGAAAGTCTTAAGTAGTCCTCTTGCTAGCTCTGCCGAATGATGATGGTTGTTTGTTGAAAATTTGGTTTAAGCTGGTCTAACCTAACCTATATGAGTTTTTAGATCGTTGTTTTTTGTAGGAATGGGGATTAAATAAGGCATCAACACAAAACAAAATAAATACGGGTGTAGAAAATCGTGAAGTGGCACTATTTATAACTACTCGACTCGAATTTTCAAGTAGTAATTACTTTGAAAAAACTCAAGTAATTACTCGAAAGTAGAGTACTCGCCCACCCCTAATATATTCTTTTAATTGACAATAGTTAAATATAGGTACTGTGAAATAAAGACTTGATTCCTAATTCCAAATCAACTAATGAATAAAATAAATTGTTATTTAATTATTTTTGTCAAATTAAGTGATGGTTGCTTTGAAAATAATTAATTTAACATGAGTAAATATTAAAATCTTCTTGCAAAATTAATGTAGATCATTATATTAATAGAATAATGTAGTTGCTGTGACTGGGATACACATGATAAACTGTTGGGACATAATCATGATTTACGTTTCATTTAGAAATATCTTAAGGCCCAGGCCCACCTTTTAAGGGTTTCAAGTTATGGGCCAGAATTAAGTATATACTCTTGAGATGACGAGATAAACCTTTATAGACTAACGTTTTGAGTTTTGACCCATTCAAATTATAATTATCAGCTAAATTGTATTGCTAATAATTCACTTAGGTATGCAATCTGATAAATTTTACCAGGTACGAAACAGGAAAAGGTTTTACGATAGGCCAAGGTAGCAAGATTTGAGTTTGGTTTATAAAATGCAGTAGCCTAAATAAATACTGAATGTTTTCTTATAAATCAGACTATGACATATACTAAATTAATTTATTTCATCTTAAATGAGCATTATTTTGTAAATTAAATCAACACGCCCCCTAATTGACAACATGCTAGTCTGTTTGTTTTGATTTGACCTCAAAATTTGACATGTGAACATTGAACACATGATTACACTCGCTACAGCCAAAAAGGTTCAACATAAAGAAAGGAATAGCTTAAAGATATTCCAACATAACAACCACTTCTAGCTTAAAAAATCCAACTGTAGGCCTAAATATTTTTGGTTCAATTTTCAACCACTGGACGGTTACTGTATTAGTTTATTCCAAACATTTGCAGACCTTGTAAACTGATTAGATGCGTAAAAAGGACTGTCTCCCTCACCTGGCCGAGGCCCCACTAGTAAAACAGGCCATGCTGCAGCGTGGGCTGCGCAACACTACATCATAGTGGTGGATAGTTGAAGCAGCAGTACCTGCGGATATTGTTAGTCTAGCAGCCACTGTCAACATAGATAATGTGTTGTGTACTAACCTTTGGCATGTATTGCTTGTTGCAGGATGGTGAAAGCAGCTGTACCCATGGGTATTCTTTGTCTAGCAGCCACTGTCAACGTAGATCCTATGTTCTGTACTAACCTCTGGCATTCATTGCTTGTTGCAGGATGGTGAAAGCAGATGTACTTGAGGGTATTCTTTGTCTAGCAGCCACTGTCAACATTGATACTGTTTTTTGTACTAACCTCTGGTATTCATTACTTGTTGCAGGATGGTGAAAGCAGATGTTCCTGTGGGTATTCTTTGTCTAGCAGCCACTGTCAACGTAGATCCTATGTTCTGTACTAACCTCTGGCATTCATTGCTTGTTGCAGGACGGTGAAAGCAGATGCACCTGTGGGTATTCTTTGTCTAGCAGCCACTGTCAACGTAGATCCTATGTTCTGTACTAACCTCTGGCATTCATTGCTTGTTGCAGGATGGTGAAAGCAGATGTTCCTGTGGGTATTCTTTGTCTAGCAGCCACTGTCAACGTAGATCCTATGTTCTGTACTAACCTCTGGCATTCATTGCTTGTTGCAGGACGGTGAAAGCAGATGTTCCTGTGGGTATTCTTTGTCTAGCAGCCACTGTCAACGTAGATCCTATGTTCTGTACTAACCTCTGGCATTCATTGCTTGTTGCAGGATGGTGAAAGCAGATGTTCCTGTGGGTATTCTTTGTCTAGCAGCCACTGTCAACGTAGATCCTATGTTCTGTACTAACCTCTGGCATTCATTGCTTGTTGCAGGATGGTCAAAGCAGATGTTCCTGTGGGTATTCTTTGTCTAGCAGCCACTGTCAACGTAGATCCTATGTTCTGTACTAACCTCTGGCATTCATTGCTTGTTGCAGGACGGTGAAAGCAGATGCACCTGTGGGTATTCTTTGTCTAGCAGCCACTGTCAACGTAGATCCTATGTTCTGTACTAACCTCTGGCATTCATTGCTTGTTGCAGGATGGTGAAAGCAGATGTTCCTGTGGGTATTCTTTGTCTAGCAGCCACTGTCAACGTAGATCCTATGTTCTGTACTAACCTCTGGCATTCATTGCTTGTTGCAGGATGGTGAAAGCAGATGTTCCTGTGGGTATTCTTTGTCTAGCAGCCACTGTCAACCTAGATCCATGTACTAACCAGTATAGGGATGGGCACAACTGCCAAAATCACACAACCGTTGTGCACACAACCGTTGCGGAGCGACAACCGTTTAATTAAACGGTTGTCGACAACTGTTGACCTTGGCACTGACGTTGCGTTGTAGCTGTGCACTGTTTACGTTTACAACGATAACGCTTAGTAGCTCAACGGTTGTGAATAGACGGTTGCGTTGTCGTCGACTGTTGTGAATGTCTATTTTGCATTTTGTTTTAGTTATAGAAAGTAAATGCTTGTAGGAATTAAATTGGCCTTAGCCTAGTAACCTGTTGCTATGCATGACTTACGTGTGAAACCTAGAGATAATTTAATAGGTATTATATAGTTTATAAATATAAAATAATAATTTTAAGTTTCTATTAAGCATGGATGTCCTCTGTGAACAAAACCGGTTTTAATTTCAAATATTATAAATTTAACTTGTTTAATTGAAATTTAATTTAATTGTTGAAAATTTATTGCCATTTATTTATTGTTAAAAAATTTATTGTTTTTATTCATTGAAATTTAATTGTTTAGTTGGAGTAAATCTAAACTGATCATGAATAAACGACAAACTTAGAATACTCTAGTAGAATTGCATCTTATTATATGGTAACGATAAGAAAGAAATAAGTTTTTCAGGTAACCTCGGAACAAACAACGACAACGACTTCGCCGCGAAACAATTGAATACAACTGCCTCAGCCTGTTTTACACAACCGTTTAGTTGGATAACGCCCGCCGGCCGCCACTGGCCAGCCTACAACCACAACCGAACCAAACAGTTGTTGTAGAGCGTTGCGTTTAGCAGTCGCGCAGCTGTGGACAACGACAACGACAACTCCCTGAAAACGTTGTCGACAACTGCCAGCTCTACACAACCGTTTAGTTGTGCAACGTCTGCCGCGCCACAACCGTTGTCAAACAACCGTTGCGTTGTTTTCGCCCCACCTCTAAACCAGTATCAGTGGCTTTACATTTTTTTTACATAAATGACTGTTATCATAAACCCTGTGTTCTTTATTAACCTCTGGCCTTCATTGCTTGTTGCAGGGTGGTGAAAGCAGATGTACCTGCGGGTATTGTTTGTCTAGCAGCCACTGTTATCCTATATCCTGTGTTCTGTACTTAACAGTACCAGTGGCTTCCATTTTTATTCACAGAAATGACTGTTATAAACCCTGTATGACTGTTATCATACTTCCTGTGTGCTGTACTAACCTCTGGCCTTCATTGCTTGTTGCAGGGTGGTGAAAGCAGCAGTACCGGCGGGCATTGTTTGTCTAGCAGCCACTGTTATCATAGATTCTGTGTTTTGGCAGCGGCTCCTCTGGCCCGAGGGAGAGGTGTTTTGGTTCAATACCATTCTAAACAAAAGTTCTGAGTGGGGAGTATCCTTTATTTGCACTTCACCACACTCAAATTTAAACATAGCTTGTTTGATTTTCTTGTAAGTTATTTACTATTAAAAATGTAACCAAGATTGTTTTAGATTTTTAGAATAAATTGATTTCAGCTAGCTTACCCTAGGAAACGTCCAGATAGGTAGGTACACAGACAAGACACAGACAACACCCAATATTTAACCCCCTTGGGGAAGTGTAAACGAATATAGTTCAATCTCCATTTATGAGTGTAACCCGGGTCTGCGCCAAAAATCCATACCTAATCCCAGAGTTGAAAAAGATTATCTTTGGCATTCACCGACTGCACCGGCACTAGTCCAGGTAGGCGAGATCTTGGTTTGGTACCCTAACTTAGAATATAAACAAACCACACATCCTTATGTTTTACAGCAAATTTAAGAAGTCTTGGTGTTCGCTGCATCCGAATATTTTTGGTTTTCTTATTGATATCAAGGAATCACAAACGAACACCATCGATGTATATATAACCTAACTGGATCGCTCCCTGGCATGAGAATACGGCTCTGAAAACGAGCCGCCACGCTGCTCACCTGAGGGGTACAGAGCGGCCCCACAGCATTGAGTTAGCATTAGCAACCGCCGACATATCTTGCTTTTAACCTCCACTTTGTAATCAAAACGTTTTGAATTAATTTATTTCTGTTATTAGTTCAATACTGTATGTATTTTTTTTTCATTACTTTAGAATATAAAAACTATTACCGTAAACAAAGACCCAGAACACACTTTTAAAACTTGTTTTGCATGAAGGCCTACCCAGCCGTGAATCTATAACCAAGGTCTGTATATACATTGCTATGGATCATCATTCTTTTTAACCGACTTCCCCACTACCAACAAAAGGAGGAGGTTCTCAATTTGTCTGTGGCGATGTTTTTTTTTTCTATGTATGTTCACCAATTTCTCTGTGATTCTTTTACCGATCAGCGTGGTTCCACCACCAAAATAACCAGGAGAGTTTCTATTTGGTAACCTATATAGCATTGTGTTTAAGAAAAATATTTGTTTGGTGAAAAATGCTAAAAACCTCAAATATTCAACATTTATTTTGTTTATATTTTTGCAGAGAAGGCAATAAATAATAATAACATTCCTACAGCTGTTAGTTAAAACCATTTAAATGAAGCTACAGACAGTTTCTTCATGAAACAGTTGCTTCATATTGATTAATAAACTATTTCTTGCCATGGAGCCTAAATAAGTTACATTGAAAAAATTCATTTTGTTTTGGTTACTATAAAAAAGGTATTTCAACATTTGACCTGATTTGTGTATGATTCTGTTTTGAGTAATATTCTGACTTATAAAAATATAGTGAATAGCTGTATGATATTGACAATTTAAGGTGTATTGTGAAAACCAAAGCATTCGTAAAAACCGTGTCTCCTACTTCTGCGTCTGAGGTTCGTGAAGTCGTCTTATTAATAGGATCAAAAAAAAGTTCTGGCATTGATGAAGTCCCATGCAGCCTTCTCAAACTTTGCAATGAAAACATCTTTGAAGCATTGGCCTGCGCTATTAACAAGTCGTTTGAAACTGGTTGCTTTCCTGATTCGTTGAAAACTTCAAAGGTTGTCCCTGTATTTAAGAAAAATGATCCTCTTAATGCAAGTAACTACCGGCCTATTTCTGTCCAGCCTTGTTTTGGTAAAATCTTTGAGATTATTTTTCTTAAAAGATTGCTAAGTGTAATAACTATTAGAACTACTATGAAAACATGGCGACATCTGATTACGCACCTTGCTAGACTTGAAGTGAAGGTCATCAAGACGGAAAACTCCTTGACCGATCGGCAGCCAATCAGGGAGCTCCACGCCGATGTAGGCAGTGCAGCCACCCAGTAACTTAATCTGTTTCCGGTTACTAATAATCTAATATGGTCCTATTGCTACTATATTACACTCGCCACCATTTAGATTAGGCCCACACTACTGCTGTAAGACCACAAATAACATACTCTTCAACATAAAACTTTCTCTTCATAATATTTTTTTTTTCATTTTTATTAATTAAACCTTGATTCCAACTTAAAATTTCTTCTCATAAAACTAAAATAAACTCTTCTCACTTCTGCCTGAATAGCTTAAAGGTCTAGCTTTTCAGGCTTTTGAATTGTCCTTTTTGACCTTCTAAGATTGGGCGGGCTGCACTGCACTACCGCAGGTGAGTCTTCATGTCTTGGCTGGACCGCTGCAGTCTCAGAGTCCTTCAATGGAGATTGCCGCCTGGGCGAAACTTGTTGCCTCTCCTTGTCCTCTGAAGTTTCCCCTCGCTCAGGAAGTACTGGTTTCATGGGAGACCTTGGCTCACAACTTGGCACTGCTATCCCCTCCTCTTCCATGTTAACCCTAGACCTGAGGTGGTCAGCATGGCAACGCCTAACTTTTCCCAATACACTAACAAGATATATTACAGAACTTTTTATCTCCAGAACTTTTCCAGGTACCCAGTCAATCTTTTCCTGCCTGACAGTTTTGACGAACACTTTCTCTCCAACTTCAAAGGATCTTGCCCTTCCCCTATGCCTATCCGAACTCTCCTTCTGTCTGTCCAGGTTCGTGTCAATACGAGCGTTGAGGTTAGGTTTGAGAAGTGCAAGCCTAGTTTTAGGTTTCCAGTTGAGAAACAATTCTGCCGGGGTAAGTCCGGTTACAGTGTTAGGTGTATTTCTGTATGTCATTAGGAAGTTATCAAGTTTATGTTGCAAAGTCAGAGAACCAGTACCACCTTCACTCAACACCTTTCTCAACAGGTTCTTCTTCACTTCTTGAACGGACCGCTCGGCCGCACTATTTGACGCAGGATGATAAGGAGGTGATAAGACAAACCTTACTCCATTCTTCTTTAAGAATTCTTTGAACTCAAAACTTGTAAAAGAAGGGCCATTATCAGATACTAGAGTGTCCGGAAGCCCATACGATGCAAAAAGTGAACGGAGACGCTCAATGGTCTTGAGAGAACTAGTAGATTTCATAACAAACACCTCGATCCACTTGGAAAAACTGTCTACTAGTACTAACATTTGTTGCCTAGAATTAGTATCTTCAGCGAAATCTATGTGCACCCGTTGCCATCTGCCATACACACGGGGCCACTGTTGGAGAGGGACTTTTGGAGCTGCATTCCTCGTACACTGACAAATATAACAGGAAGACACTGTTTCTTCAATACCTTGTTCTATACCGGGCCACCACACATAGCTACGTGATAACAGCTTCATCCGTGTAATGCCTGGATGTTGATCATGAAGCAATTCTAAAACTTGATTCCTCAATTTTGTCGGAATGACCACACGGGCCCCCCACAGAAGACAATTACTATCCACAGAAAGTTCATCTTTCCTTTTTACATAAGGCAATAACTCTTTATCCACAGCGCCATGCCAACCGTGCCAAACATAATCTCTTACTTTAGATGATATAGGATCAGTACCAGTGAATTTAGCAATTTCCTTAGAAGTGATAGGTGATTCGGTACTCACCGTGCTGAAGCAGTTTAGTACCTCCACGCATTCCTGAGTGTGCGAGATAAAGTTGTTTTCCAGTTCCAGTGAATCACTTGCCGGTAACGGCAACCGGGATAAGGCATCGGCATGTGGCACATCAGACGCCTTGCGATATCTCACTTCGAAGTCATACGAAGCCAAAATCAGGGCCCATCTCTGTAGGCGCGCTGCGGCTAGGCTTGGGGTTCCTCGCTTTGAGCCAAAGATAGTAGCCAACGGCTGGTGGTCACTCTGTAATATGACATGTTTTCTCCCGTTAATATACTTATGAAATTTCTTAGCACCAAATACTAATGCTAGAGCTTCCCTATGAAGCTGAGAATAATTTTTCTCACTTTGACTCAGAGTTTTAGAGGCGAAAGCAATAGGCCTCTCTTCGCCATCAATCAAATGGGACAACACCGCCCCCACGCCTCGAGGGCTTGCATCACATGTAAGCACTAGTGGCTTATTGACATCATAATGTACAAGAATATCAGAAGATAACACCCAGTGTTTACTCTGTTTAAAAGTTTCAGCACATTTCCTAGACCAAACAAAAGGAACATCCTTTTTCAACAACTCATAGAAACAGTTCAGCTTATCAGAGAGATTGGAAATAAATCTACCATAGTAATTAATGAGTCCTATTTATGATCTCAACTCCTCCTTACTTGATGGTTCCGGGGCATCCTTGATGGCTTCCACTAGCCCTTCTCGTGGACTTATACCTTCAGCCGACAACCTATAACCTAAATAGTCTACAACAGGTTGTAAAAATTTGCATTTACTATCGTTAACCTTCACTCCATATTCTTGGAAGCGTTGAAGAACTTGCTCCAACCTAGACACTGCTTCAGGGTATGAATGTCCGCCAATCAAGACATCATCAAGGTACGCTACCGTACCGGGAAGATTTTTAATTATCTCATCAATAGCTGCCTGAAACAAAGCAGGTGCACTGGATAGGCCATATGGCAAACGAGTAAGACGAAATAATCCTTTATGTGTTGCCAAGGTTAACACATTCACTGCTAATGATATGTAATACTTTTATAAATGGCTAAAAAACATAAACATTAACATGATCATGTTAATTGAGTGACAATATATCTTTAATTAAATAAATTTTATACTATAAATTGTGGATTAAAATATATTATGTAATTATATACATCATGTATTATATATCTGCTAATATACTTATGACGCACAAGTGCGTCATTAGCAGTGAACGTGTTAACAACTCCTGTGAATCCTCAGCGACCTCCAGTTGAAGATAGGCTGTCTGTAAATCAATAACAGAGAACACAGAACAACCAGATAATGAAGCAAAAATATCCTCGGGTTGAGGTAAAGGATAGTGTTCAGTTTGGATAACTTGGTTTAACGTTACCTTAAAGTCCCCGCATAGCCTAACTCCTGTAGGCTTAGGCACAACAACCAGTGGGGTTGCCCAGTCGGAACTCAAAACAGGATA